CTCTCTCTCTCTCTCTCTCTCTCTCTCTCTCTCCCTTGCGCGCGCTCTCTCTCCCTTGCGCGCGCGCTCTCTCTCTCTCTTTCTTTCTCTTTCTCTTTTTCTTTCTCTCGTTCGCTTTCGCTCTTTCTCTCTCTCTCTCTTTATCTCTGCCTCTCTATTTCTCTCTTACTCTTTCTCTCTTTCGCTTTTTCTTTCTGTCCCACTTTTTCTCTTTCCCTCTCTCTCTCTCTCTCGCTCTCTCTCTGTCTGTCTGTATCTCTCTGTCTCGCCGCCCTTCTCTCTCACTCTCTCTACCTCTCCCTCTCTCTTTTGTTCGTCGAAATATTCCAGATAATTAATGCAATATTCGACCAGCCCGTAATGGACTCCATGTTCGCTTCATTCGCGGGGCGTCGCAATTTTTTAATTGCTCCCCGCACCCGTTGCACACGCAGCGAATTCCGCATGCCGCCCGCCGCGCCCCCCTGCGGTGCCCAATCGCAGACGACAAAGCCGGTGACAATGGTGCGGCGGTTTACTCTAAGGCAACCGACGTGATTGAATATGAGCAACGAGGGGGAAGGAACGGGAACGAAACAAAATCAGCGACGGCACGGGGGGAACCCGCCCCGTCACAATACCGCGGAGTCGGCAGCGGTTTCGCGAGGCAGATGTGTGCGGGTGCGAGGTTAAGCCTGGGAGCACAAGGGCCATGCGGGAGGCCGCCGCAGCCATTGACGAGCCGAGGTTGCCCCGTGCTGAGCACGGAACCGCCACGCCATTGATAGTACTCTTAAGTTGAACGCGATATTGTTATTACAGGAAAGCGAGGCGGCCCTTATGTACGCCATCTCAACTACCGCCGCTGCCGCTACTGCCGCTACTGCCGCTACTGCCGCTACTGCCGCCGCCGAGTTTCCACGTCAGTGACGTTCGAACGCGGCGTTCGTTTTCTCTGCAGACGATTTGAATCTCGCGGTCCTTCATATTTTTTTCGGTCTCACGGAGGGCTTTATTTATGTGTATGTGTGTGGGGGAGGGTGTGGGGGAGGGCACGTACATACATCTATACGTACATACATCTATACATACGTACATACATACATACATACATACATACATACATACATACATACATACATACATACATACATACATACATACATACATACATACACACGTACATACATCTATACATACGTACAGTGGGGAATGAACTTATTGCGATAAAGTCGCTCTTATTTTGACTCTCGCGCGTACGGGCAGCTCGCGGGATACGCAACGATAGACACTCGAAAAAGTTTCTCCTCCAGTGGAGAAATAAATGAATAAATACATAATAAATAATTCCATACATACATACATACATACATACATACATACATACATACATACATACATACATACATACATACATACATACATACATACATACATACATACATACATACATACATACAGTATGTATGTATGTATGTATGTATGTATGTATGTATGTATGTATGTATACATACATACATACATACATACATACATACATACATACGTGTGTTACCCTGTTGTTTGCGCGTTTCTTTTAGCTGAAGTTCAGCTTTTAAAAGTGGCTACGGGAAATAATACCAATCCTACCCTCATTCCATCCCACTCATGTACTTATCTGCACGCACCCAGTGAATGTTGTTATATATAGCGTTATGCATAAGACCAGCTATTGTTGCTCGAATCGGTTTAAAAAGCCACGACGCTGACAACAGAGTCGGCCCCTATGCAAAATAGCACTATTGACATACAGCCACAATAAACAGTTTAATATTGCATACTCTACGTAGATTACGTACATGCGCAACGAAAATGTTGTTTGCATATAAACGTTCGGCATCTGATGCGTTCTATGCAGAAACAACTCCATCTTGCCTATTCTGGATCTGTTGCGTCGAGTTTTCCAATGATAGGATCAACACAGTGTGTTGACTATAGGTTGCTCCATTCGTGGCCGGCCAATTAGTGAAATTGTGCGCAAGAGTAACATTTATAGACGGGGAGCGGCGGCTACAGGGAGGCAGTGCGCACGAGCATGCGAGATATACCCACTAACGCATAGACGCACGCGCATCTATGCGTATGATTATAATATATACTCGTGAAAGCCGCCGAGCTACGATGTCCGATTCTAGTACCTGTCTCGTCTAAAGTCCAGCAATACTAACGCGTTGTCTATTATGTTATATTGAAGTGGAAATGTTCGGATCGGAAGTTGTACTCTAGACTATACTATATAATAATTATTATATGTTCCTAGTAATATGACATATAGGACATTTGAACAATTACTTTGTACGGCAGCTTTGGCTACACATGGAAAGGCAACGTGAGGTACCGTGAATAATTCTAAGCAATCGCAGGACGCCGTTCACAGGTAGGTATAGGTGACTTATTGATTCAACTTACAATAATTTGATGCATGACTTAGCCTATTCAATAAGTAATTTACGCATAGCGGGATATTGGAATTCAAAACACAACCATATTATTTGAAATTAATTTTCTACCTGTCTCGGTCAATTTCCGTGTCTTCTTATTTCTGGATTTAAAGAACAGGAAACCCGCAAAGAAATCCTACGTAAGAATTATAGGGTAATCAGGCTAGATAAGCATTAAAATACCCAAACTCAAACAAAAACGTGTTTTTGTACGAGTTTGCCTCATTTGTATTTTCCTAGCTGCTCATAATAATTATCTTCGTGTCGTGACTGTAGTTTACCCGCGCAGTGAGCGATCTGTTTACGGTACATTTGTAAACTAGATGAGCAAAATCTTTTCAGCAAAATGCCAAAAAAGAAGAATAGAAAACTGGACGCCATTTTCAATCCAACGGGAGGGCTGACGCCATTAATGGCTGCGTGTCAACAACAGAATGAAGACACCGTGAAGATGTTACTTCAAAGCGAGGTAAAGTGCACTTAATAGTACACTTCATTGTACTGATAAGACGTTATTGCTACTAACGAAAATCTCTCACTTATCTACTTGGACATGGATAATTCAACATCAGTAACAGTACAGAGTCTTTGCTCACAGTGGCTTTCAACGGAGCAATGATATACAATGTTTTGCTTTCCAATAGCCTCGAAATTTTGGCTAGGAGATGCGGTTATGTTACAAATCTAGCAAACAGTGTGGATGTTGAATTTAGTCAGTACGCTTGACCGGTATTATGCATCGGGTGTTCGCTATTTAGGCCAATTCTAAGGTTGCTCTCTGCAGGCGCAGCTCTGCTATTTATCGATGTACATCGTAGGGTTTCCGCCAGCATTTCGTACTCAAGGTTGTATTAAGGGCTGGTCCCTTGTTCGATGAAACGCCGTAATAAGGCCCGGCCTAGTGCTTGGGATAAATCTCATTATCGCTCGGCCTAAATAACCATTGCAGAGGCTTGTTCGTAGTTACAGTGGCTTGAATACTCGATTAGTCCTGGACGGCGCAGATATTTGTCAATAGCGCCTGTGGTCTGAGTTGAGAATATAAGTACGAATATTATATATATATATATATATATATATATATATATATATATATAT